CTTCATTTTATTATGTGTGTGCTAATGGCAAAATTGGGAGTTTTCAGAGCATTGCATCTCATTAGAAATTAACTGGATTGACAGCATTGTATTGTTTTAGTAGCTGGTTCCTCAGGTCAGTGAATCCTTCCTTCCTCCCTTCCTTCCTTCCTTCCTCTCCAAGCCAGTAAGTATTTCACATGTGCTACACTCTCAGTCCCTCCAATTCTTTATATACTAATTGAAACTAATATAACATGAGGATTTAGTTATATTTTTTGGAACTGGGGTCCACTGAAATGTGTTTTTGAAAATACTCCTATAGTTTTTTCTTCATGGAATTTACAGTGTGATTACTATGGAGTGTTTTGCCAGTTTATAATGATAAATTTTTGCAAGTTTGCAAGTTCAACTGTTTTGAGTTTGACACTTCTGATGGGTTCTTTGGTTCTTTATAAGGGTTTCTGTTTGACAGTGTACTATGAAATTTACATATTAGTATTTGCTTTACAGCAGCTTACTTGCTTTTCAGTTTAAGAGAGTCAGTTACTGGGGTGTGTGTATCTGTTCCTTATGATTGAACACCAGTGTAAATGATTGTGTGAAGACATTTCTGAAGCCTCCCACTACCTCATGTGCTCAATATCTCTGATAGTTCCAACTAGGGAATTTCTTGCATTATTAAGAAAATGCCATTTCAATAGCACTTTTTACTGTTAATTGCATTTTGAGTTTACAATTTAATTGCTAAAGTCAGTCTGAAAAATTTGAATATTGTTGTGATAGTTTTTAAGCTTAATTGCATAATTTCTAATATGATCTGGCTAAATTCTATGATATCATTGCTTATGTTTATTCTCTAGCTTGAGTCTATTGACCAGCACTTTCTTACTGCAGTGATTTCTGTCCTTTTTTTCCTATGTGGCCACATAGAATGGATACCCAAGTTTTATGAAACTCCTTTAAAATTGATGAGACTCTGTAAATTTTATAATCATTATCATATGTAATATACTTAATGGTTGCTTGTTTTGCTGTGCCTACCTAATATATCAGGAAACCTACGGTAGAGTGTAGCACATAAGTGCTGGGATGACTCCCAGTTTATGATGTCTCCCTCCTTTGGGAGTGTCTCCCAGTGCTGTGCCTCTCTTCCAGAGGATTGAGTCAAATCTGATATTGCCAATTATACAGTCTCTCCTGTGGATTTAAAATTTAGGTTCTAGACAGTGAAATATAGCATAGTTGGAGCTGAGTCATATTATTAATAGTGCTATAGTGAAAAGATCCGAGAGTCCCTTTTTCTAAATTGAAGTGCCTTGGTTCTTACCTGTATTGGTCTGTTAGTCATTCATCTTACTGATTCTGGGATGATTCTTCTTTTTTTGAACCTAGACAGGAATTATTTCTATTTTCAGCTAAAATAAATTGAATCACACATAAACGGAATATTTGAGTTATGTGATGGGTGTGTCATAGAAAACATTTTAAACAGCCTCCTACTGGTTCCTGTTTACCCCTCCCTATCATACTAGTTAACTTCTTTACTCAGTCATCACAAACTAAGTGCACAAATACCTGTCATCTACATACCTTTTGCAGCTTGGTTTCATATAGCTGTATTTCCTGTAGAGTTTCAAAATATTGTTAGGATTTGTTTGTTTGGCTCTTCATTAGGCAACGACTTTTAGAGTTGGGCATTGAGAAACATGTTCAGCTTTGATTGCTAGTACCTTGCACATAGTAGGCATTAAATAAATGCTTGTTGAATTAATATTAAATATTATTAAAACTCCTTTTGATGTTATTCCCACTTAACTCCTTTATTATTTATTCGACAAATGCTGTGTGTGTGTGTGTGTGTGTGTGTGTGTGCGCGCGCTGGAGACCATTCTATGCTCTAGGGATACCTCTGTGAAGAAAAGAAACCAAAAGAGTTGGGTGCACTGGTGCTCGCCTGTAATCCCTGTGGCTCAGGAGGCTGAAATAGGAGGATCGCAAGTTAACGGTGAGGTGCTAAGCAACTCAGTGAGAGCCTGTCTCTAAATAAAATACAGAATAGGGCTGGGGATGTGACTCAGTGGTTAAGTGTCCTGAGTTCAATCCCACTCGTCCTGCCACCCCCTGCCCCCCCCCCCAGAAAAAGAAACCAAAAATGCCTGCCTTCATAGAGCTTACATTCTAAATAAATATGTCATCTTTTTTTTTTTTTTTTAATTAGGAAGTATAGTTAAAGTAACTTTAAGCAGTGTGTGGAGTTTTGTACTATAATTGCAAGATTCACCCTCCACTCTTTTTTTGGGAGGGGGGTACCAGGAATTTAACTCAGGGACACTCAACCACTGAGCCACATTTCCGTCTCTATTTTGTGTTTTATTTAGAGACAGGATCTCACTGAGTTGCTTAGCGCCTCAAAGTTGCTGAGGCTGGCTTTGAACTCAGGATCCTCCTGCCTCAGCCTCCAAAGCCACTGGGATTACATGCATGTACCACTGCGCCCAGCCTCCTTCTCGAATCTTAATGTCATATTTAATAGATAAATTCTAGTTTTAACAGGAGAATAGAGATGTGACAAGGAATGATGCTAAGTGCCCAGTAGAAATTTTGAAAGTCTATGGGTTTGGAAAGTTTCCTGAACATGATAAGCTTCAGTGAATATATTTAGTAGTTAGTGTTTCTTTGGAATTCTGTGTTGTCACAATAATAAAATATGAATAACTCCTCAAACTTCTGTTATGTGTGCTTGCTTATTTTTTGTGCTCTCTTTGAAGTTGTAATCATAGCATACTTAGTCTTTAATGATCTTGGGGTAAATTGAAGAGTATGACAGTGGGCATATATGTTGTTAATATCTCTTTGGTCCTTGAAAATTGATCCAGGTAAGTTCATGTAGCCTCAATCATAATATTCTAAAGAGAAATATTTGACTTAATAGATTATTTTTAAGGGAGAACACTCAAACAGAAAGACTTACTTTTTTTTTCTTTTTTCTGTTTTATTGTTGTTCTGCTTAGTTGTACAAGACAACAGAATGCATTTCAATTCATCATATATAAATGGAGCACAACATTTCAATTCTCTTGTCATACACTATGTAGAGATTCAATCATACATGTACCTAGGGTAATGATGTCCATCTCATTCCACCATCTTTCCTATCCCTTTAACCCCTCCCGACCCTCCCCTTTGCTTAATCCAAAGTTCCTCCATTCTTCCCATGCTCCCCCACCCCCCTCCGTCCCCGTCATAGATCAGCATCCACTAATCAGAAAAAACATTCAGCCTTTTTGGGGAAGATTGGCTTACTTCGCTTAGCATAATATTCCCCAGCTCCATCCATTTACCTGCATATGTCATAATTTTATTTCTTTTAATGCTGAGTAATATTCCATTGTGTATATATACCACAGTCTTTATCCATCCATCTGTTGATGGGCATCTAGGTTGGTTCCACAGTTCAGCTATTGTGAATTCAGCTGCTATAAACATTTGTGTGGTTATGTCACTATAGTATGCTGATTTTAAATCCTTTGGGTATAGACCAAGGATTTAAAATCAGCATACTATAGTGACATAGCCACACAAATGTTTATAGCAGCTGAATTCTCAATAGCTGGGTCAAATGGTAGTTCCATTCCAAGTTTTCTGAGGAATCTCCACACTGCTTTCCAAGTGGTTGCACCAATTTGCAGTACCACCAGCAATGTATGAGTTTACCTTTTTTCTCCCGTCCTTTCCAACACTTATTATTGCTTGTATTCTTGATAACTGCCATTCTGACTGGGGTGAGATGAAATCTTAGAGTAGTTTTGATTTGCATTTCTCTAATTACTGAAGATGTTGAACATTTTTTCATATATTTGTTGGTTGTGTATATCTTCTTCTGAGAAGTATCTGTTCAGTTCCTTAGCCCATTTAGCTAATTGATTGGGTTGTTTGTTTTTTGGTATTAAGTTTTTTGAGTTCTTTATATATCCTGGAGATTAGTGCTCTATTTGATGTGTGTGTGGCAAAAATTTGCTCCCCAAATGGAAGTTCTGTCTTCACTTCATTGATTATTTCTTTTGCTGAGAAGAAGATTTTTAGTTTGAATCCATCCCATTTATTGATTCTTGATTTTATTTCTTGTGCTTTAGGAGTCTTATTAAGGAAGTCAGGGCCTAATCTGATATGATGAAGATTTGGGCCTTTTTAAACTAGAATATTATGAAAAGTGAGATTCCAGATGGTATTCTAAATCCTGAAATATTTATTAAGTTTTTTGTTTTGTTTAATTTTGTATATTTTCTCTGCATTTTTATACATGTATTATTGTTTGTACCCTAGAACAAATTTTCAAACTAGTTATTTCAAGTTACTTAATATGTATTAGTGATGTCTACCTAAATATCTAAGCTTTTGTTCTAGAGCCACTAGATTTGTGACTATGATTATAGTAAGACTCAATACTGCAGTGAGAAGTAAGTGTACTAATAGAAGAGAGCTCAACATGGTATTGGTGCTTAGGAGATGTCTCCTTTCCTTGTTTGTTTAGATTCCCATGGGAGAATATATTTACATGAACCTTTAAATAAAATAAAGTTTTATAGCTTTTCCCCTAAAATAATTTCAGCCATATAAAATCTAAGACTGCTTTTTTGTAAAAGAACTTGATTACCCATGTTTGCTTGTATTTCTTTGAAAAATAGTTAGATTTTTCAGGAATTAGAATATAAAGAAGTTAGGCTTTTGTTTTCTTTCTTTCTTTTTAATTTAGCTCATCAACTCTTCAAAATTAGTTTCTCCTGTATAATAATCTAGAGGTAAGCTTTACACTTTGTTTATCCTTTCCCTTTGGGGGGTCCAAGCCATGGTAAGCTGTTTTACAGATTGACCTTTAAAGTGGAATATTTTTATATTGGAAAAGGACAAGAATTCAACATTTAAGTGCACCTATCCCCACATTTAAAGAATTGTTGAATATTTTTAAATTTCATTACTACATTTTTTTACATGTTGCTAATTTTTTCTTGCTTTTTCAGAATGAACCTAGTGATCGAGAAGATGGCCTCACCAAAAGACATCATGTGACAGACTCTGAGAATGATGAGCCCTCACATCTTAATGCTAGTGACTCTGAAAGTGAGGAGCTTCACAGGCCAAAGGACAGTGATTCCGAATCTGAAGAGCGGGCAGAACCTCCTGCAAGTGATTCTGAAAATGAGGATGTTAATCAGCATGGGAGTGACTCTGAGAGTGAGGAGACCAGGAAATTACCTGGGAGTGACTCTGAAAACGAGGAGCTGCTTAATGGACATGCAAGTGACTCTGAAAACGAAGAAATTAGAAAGCATGCTGCCAGTGATTCTGAGATTGAAGAGCTCCAAAAGAGTCCTTCCAGTGACTCTGAAACCGAGGATGCTCTGAAACCTCAAATCAGTGACTCTGAGAGTGAGGAACCACCAAGGCACCAGGCCAGTGACTCAGAAAATGAGGAGCCTCCTAAACCGCAAATGAGTGATTCGGAAAGCGAGGAGCTTCCTAAACCTCGAATCAGTGACTCAGAAAGTGAGGATCCCCCAAGGCACCAGGCCAGTGACTCTGAAAATGAAGAGCTCCCCAAACCCCGTATCAGTGACTCTGAAAGCGAAGACCCCCCAAGACACCGGGCCAGTGACTCAGATAATGAAGAACTCCCCAAACCCCGAATTAGTGACTCAGAGAGTGAGGAACCCCCAAGACACCAGGCCAGCGACTCAGATAATGAAGAACTCCCCAAACCCCGAATTAGTGACTCAGAAAGTGAGGATCCCCCAAGGCATCAGGCCAGTGATTCTGAAAATGAGGAGCTCCCCAAACCCCGAGTCAGTGACTCTGAGAGTGAGGAGCCTCAGAAAGGACCTGCCAGTGATTCAGAAGCGGAGGATGCCTCCAGACCCAAACAGAAGCCAGAGTCTGATGATGACAGCGATGGGGAAAATAAGGGGGGGAATCCAGAAATGCAAAATGACTTTCATTCAGAGAGCCATGTTGACAGAAAAAGATTTCACAGCTCTGAGAGTGAGGAGGAAGAACCCAAAAGGCAAAAAATGGATAGTGATGAAGATGAAGAAAAAGATGGTGAGGAGGAAAAAGTAGCAAAACGGAAAGCTGCAGTGCTTTCTGATAGTGAAGATGAAGAAAAAGCATGTAAGGAATTATTTGGAGCTATAGCTTTCCTTATTACCTAACATTATAACTTTGAAACACTGTATCTTTCTGTTTTGTTAGATCTGTATTCTGTCATTGAGCTTGATACTCTAAAATATAACTAAGACACTCATTTCCCCAAGGGATCATTGACCAAACTTAATATTAAATTTCTGTTGAGTTTTTCTTGCAGCACCTGCTAATTTCTGATTACCTTTCTGATTGCCTAGACCAAGAGTCAATGGGAGTATAAAATACTTCAGTTTTCTTTACCAGAAAGGGTAATATTTCAAAGAGCTATGTTAACGTGAAAACCCCTGACTGTATCCAGAGTTAGCTGTGCGTCTCTGTGACTGCTAATTAACTAGATATATTCAGACAGTAATGGTGCTTCCACAGACAATTTGTCATATGAATTTGCAGAAGCCTTTTAGGGCTTTGTGTGTGTGTGTGTGTGTGTGTGTGTGTGTGTGTGGTGGTGCTGCTGCTGCTGCTGGGGATTGAACCCAGGTATGTGTGTGTGTGTGTGTGTGTGTGTGTGTGTGTGTGGTGGTGGTGGTGGTGGTGGTGGTGGTGCTGGGGATTGAACCCAGGGGCTGGGCATGCTAGCCAAGTACTCTACTACTGAGTTACACCCTAGACAAGTTTTGTTTTGTTTTTTAATTCAAAATTGTTTGTTAGGGGGCTCTTAATTTTTTGTTACGTACTGACATTTTAAAGCATATATTATGTACAACAACCATGACTAAATATGATTAATGATTTTCTTTTTCAATAGCAGCAAAGAAAAGTCGTGTTGTTTCTGATGCCGATGACTCTGACAGTGATGTTATATCAGATAAATCAAGCAAAAGAGAGAAGACTGTAGCATCTGACAGTGAAGAAGAAGTGGGGAAAGAATTATCTGATAAGAAAAATGAAGAGAAAGATCTATTTGGGAGTGATAGTGAGTCAGGCAATGAAGAAGAGTAAGTGATAATATGTGAGTTTTCAAGGGTTTTTTTAGATAATGTAAAGGGGGTTGTCTTTCAAGTTTTTAAAACTTGTATTAGAATTTTGTGGCAAGGTATAATACACCTTACCTAATTGAGTGACTTTGGGCATTTAGGATATTAGCTCCTAAATTATTGATAGACACAGCATAATGTGGATGGATCTCAATATGTTAAGGAAGGAAAGAACATTTCATATGATGCCATTTATATGAAGTTTAGGAACAGGAAAACTATGATGATAGGAATTGGTGGTGATTGCCTCTCAGATGTTGGTGGTAGGGAGCTGACTGTAGGGATATAAGGAAACTTTGTGGGGAGACAGTATTGTTCTGTATCTTGATTAAGGTGTTGGTTATGAGTGTAAACATTTGTTAAAGCCCATTGAACTGGACACTTAAAATCTGCACATTTTACAGTACATAAATGATACCCTATTTTTAAGAATGATTCTTAAACAGATAGGAAGAAAGAAAATGAATGTCTTTGTATTTTTTCTTTTCTAGAAATCTTATTGCAGATATATTTGGAGAATCTGGTGATGAAGAGGAAGAAGAATTTACAGTAAGTATAAGATGGAAACTTTTTTAAAAATTTACTTGTTTATTTTGGGGGTACCAGAGATTAAACTCAGGGGCACTCGACCACTGAGCCACATCCCCAGCCCTGTTTTGTATTTTACTTAGAGACGGGGTCTCACCAAGTTGCTTAGCACCTCACTTTTTGCTGAGGTTGGCTTTGAACTCTTAGTCTTCCTGTCTCAGCCTCCTGAGCTGCTGGGATTACAGGCATGCACTACCGCGCACGACTTGGAAACATTTCTGTTTTGACTGCACTTATTTGTTTTTATGGCAAAGATTCTCTTAACACATGATTCTGATATATAAGAATAAATAATTATGATGTATTCAAGAGAAAAATCTAGAAGAATTCAAAAAGTGAGATAAAAGTGTATTACAAAGGTATAAAAGGAAAATAAATGAATGAATGGGATGAAGGAACACATTAAGATACAATGAAAGACCCTGTGATAAAAGGTAGAGTCACAATAGTTATAGGACTTCTGCTTCTAGTAATAGCAGACTTGTTAATTTGGACTAACCCTTCTGCTATAAACAACCAAAAAAGCATTTGAAAATCTCATCTGAGGAACAAGGTAACAAGGAATTATTTGGCCAGAAGACAGAAAGCTAAAGAAGTGGTAATTCAGTGTTTAGAACTGCTTTTTCTTTGAGGGTGTTTGCCTCTAAGGCTGAGAATCTGCTCATATTTTTGACAGCCTCAAGGCTTAGGGACAAAATTTGAACTTCAGGGCCTGCTGAGGTTAGGGGCCTGAAAAATCGCATGCCCTGGATTGGGGCTCTAAAGAACAGCACTCTAGGATTTAAGTGGAACTGAAAATAAAACAACCTTTGCTCATATTTAGGCCAACTATAGATGACTCAAAGAACCTGTGTCAGAAATTTGATTATGATGATTCAGGTTTTCTATGCAGCATGGTGCACAGTTAAAGATAACATTAAAAGGGAATGGTAGTAACAAAAAACAATAAAAAAAGACCTAGGGGCTCTTGAAATTTTAGATAATGCCTTAAAAAATATATATTCAGGAAGCAATAAGATTAAAAATTTTACCAGAGCAAAACATTTTTAAAAGGACAAGACAGATCTGGAGAAGAACCATGTAGAAATTTTAGAACTATAATAATATAGTAACTATGAGGCTGCAGTTATAGCTAAGTGGCAAGGCGCTTGCCTAGCATGTGTGAGACACTGGGTTTGATCCTCAGCACCATATAAAAATAAATAAATAAAATAAAGGTATTGTGTCCAACTACAACTAAAAAATATTTTAAAAAGTAAATGAATGGACATATAAAAATAGAATAACATTTTATATATATATATATATATATATATATATATATATATATTAACTAAAATGAACTATTCAGTGGTTAAATTGAACACAAATTGGGCATATTTGAAAAGAAAATGAACTGGAAAGCAGGTTAGAAGGAAATATCTAGAATGAAGCATTGAGAGACATTATTATAGAAAATGTAAAAGAAAATTATATGAGGAAGTTTAACAACACACTGGAGTACTATAGAGAAGGATAATATGATGCATTAAACTATAAATTATAGAAATCTTTGACAAGTTGCAAGCAGAATTTTAAAAGTACCTAAGTATATAATAAAACTGCAAGAAATCAGAAAATGAGAAAGTAGCTACAGGAAAAAAGTTACAAAAGCAACAACTAGACTAATAACTCATTTCTTGACAGAAACAAGAGAATTCAATAACTGTAAACTTATAATTCTGTTATATTCAGCAAAAGTACTTTCTGGGAATGAAGGTGAAATGAGGGAATTAATTGTCAATGTGCCAACTAAAGGAAATAAAGTGCAGAAAGAAAATGGTCTTAGGTAAATGGAGATGGAAAGAAGAGCAACTAAAGTATATGGATAATCTTGGATATTGAATGTACAAAACAGTTATGTCTGGTGTGGTTTAATGTATATAAAAATTAAAAGCAATACACATTTGGGAATATACATGGAATTAAAGTGTTCACAAGTCTTTGCAAATGAATGTAAATGTACATTAATGAACTTTGATAAGTTAGGATGCATGTTGCCATCTAAAATAGCTACTGACCATATTCTAATAACTTCTAAACCAATAGAGCGGAAAATTGGGGGAATAATAAAAGCTAATCAGTTTTTAAATATGTAGGAAGAGAGAAAAAGAAATATAAAAGAGCTAGAAGCAATCAGAAAGTATTACACTGTAATAAAACAGATTTAAACTTTGATAATATCAGAAATCACATTAAATGTAAATGTGCTAAATGCTCTAGTTAATTGACAGAGATGGTCAGGTTGGATTTTCATAATTGATACATGGTGGTTCTAATAAATTTATCTGAAACAAGTGGAAAATAAAAGGGTAAGGGGCTGGGGTTGTGGCTTAGTGGTAGAGTGCTTGGCTTTCACAGGTGAGGTGCTGGGTTCAACTCTCAGTATCATATTAAAAAAATATAAGGATACTGTGTCCATCTACAACTAAAAAAATATAAAGAATAAGAAAAGATAACTCTAAAAGAAAACGAACAGCCATATTAATATCAAAAAAGTAGACTAAAAAAAGTAGACTTTAAGGCAAAAAAAATGTGAGATGAAGAGAATTACTCTTATTGATATCAATAAGATTTTAAAATTGAAGGCACCTAATAAGATGGCTTTATTTATACATAATACAAATGCAACTATACCTATACACAAAACAAAAATTAACAACTACAAAGATAAATGGATGAGTTCATAATCTTAAGAAGAATGTAGCTGACAGAACAAGCAGTCGATAAAAACCAAAAAAAGTCTTTTGTATGTAATCTGTATACAAACCATTTGGCAGTTATGAAAGTTAAAAATGTCTTCTTCCATTTGATTGCTTGCCTTTTCACTTTCTTGATGGAACCTTCTCATGAACAGAAGTTCTTAATATTGATCAGATTTATCAGCCTTTTCCTTACGGTGAAAACTTTTTGAAATCTGCCTAAGAAATTTTTGCCTGTCTCCAAGGTTATGCAGATTTTCACCAAGTTATTTTCTAGGAAGTTGACTATTTTATAAATGTTCACATTTAATTGTACAATACACCTAAAATTGGCTTTTTTATGTGTGTTATGAAGAAGTCAAACCCCTTTCCCTAATTTGGAATATATAGTAGACCCACCACCATTTATTGGAAAAAAAAAAACTCGTCCTTTCCTACTGCTGTTTGTTGCCATCAGTCATAAATCAAGTATATAGGTTTATTTTACAATCTGTTGGTCTCATTGCACCATTACTAGTGATAATTGGTTTATGTTCTCTAAGCTTGTTGTTATTCAACATTGCTTTGGCTTTTCTTGGATCTTTGCATTCTCATAAATTTTGAACCATTTTTTTCCAAAAAGCCAAAGTATAGATAATATTTTCTGTATGTAATGCAGTAAACCAAAAAATAATAACAAAATTAACAAGACACCTATGTCCTGTAAAAATTTTAAAGCCTTATTAAATAGTCCTTTGGTCAAAAAAGAAATCAATATTTTTAGTAAAATAAGAGAGAATGAAAATAGATGGATATAGAATTAAAATGATAAAAAAGTAAACCTAAGGAAAATAGTAAAAGAATTCATTTAACAAGTATTTGAAAGTCTACATATCAGAGACTTTGGACACCTTCATGGAGTTTATAGTCAGTTCAACACCATATTAGTATAAGTTAAGCTTAATCTAGTTTGGAGAGTTAACATCAGCTTGTTACAGTTTTAGCTCATTAAGAAAAACAACATACTAAGGTAAAACATTGGGAAGGCATATCTAAGTAAGATACAAAAAATTAGAAGCTGTAACAAGAAGACTGGTCATTTCATTTACATAAAAATGAAAATCATGCCTAACATTAGTATAAACAAAATTGAAATGTACAAACGTAATATTGTGCCATTTATGTCATAGTCAACTGATTTCCTTAATTTTTAGAGGTTTTTTTTTTTTTTTTTTTTTTACCCTTATTAGGTAAATAGCCCAACAACAACTAAAAAATGGGCTTAGGATATTTAGAGTTCACAGAATAAAGAATTACAGATGACTTTTTAAACATGGGGGGAAGGGGGAGCCCAGACTTAACTCCTAATGAAAGAATGCAAATAAAGCCATTTACCTTTGGGGTTTTGGTCCAGAGATTGACAAATTAATGTTTAATAACCTGTTACAGTGGTGAGAAGGTGGGAAAGCAGGTGCAATCTGTGCTTTGCTGGAAGGAGAGAGGATTGGTATATAACCCCTGTAGAAGACTGGCAAATACTTATCAAATTTTTATATATACATAATCATGCTATTGTGCAAATGTGTGAATAATTACAGTGATAACCATATGGTAAAATAGTCAAAAGCATTACAAAGAATAAGGATACTTTATGCAGAAATGGATCATTGTCCAGATTCTATTGTTAAATTTGGAAAATGTAGAGTGTATCTTTACCCATTATGAATAATATGCTGCCATTTGTATAATAAAAGGAGGTACTAAATATAGTGCGTATGTAATTGTAGACTATTCTGGAAGGAAACATAAAAAAACAAGTAATACTAGTGGTTGGGGAGAAAACTTTTGCTGTATATCCTGTTTGGTACCTATTTATTTATTTATTTATTATTTTTGTGGTTGTAATACTTTTAAAATGTAAAAAGTTAAGAGCAGTTATACCGAAGAAAATCTGTATGGAGGATTTGATAACTAGGTGATTCATTCTACCTCCAGGGTTTTAACCAGGAGGATTTGGAAGAAGAAAAAGGTGAAACCCAGGTGAAAGAAGCAGAAGATTCAGATTCTGATGATAACATAAAAAGAGGAAAGCAGTAAGTTTTTTGTTTAAAGAAATTTGTTTAAAGAGAGCTTAAAAAAAAAAAGTGGAGGTAGGGACTTAAACTTATTGTCTTTCATTTGGTTGCTAAATTTAGCAGAAAATCTATTCCTAATTTACTTGTTTTACTTTCTCTATATACAGTGCTATCAGTGAATAACTTGCTGTTATTATTTTCCTGTACTCAGATATCTTAATTTTATATTTATATGGCACCAGACTCTTAATTTATAGCTTGCTACATAAACTGTTCTAAAAATTAACCCTAATAGATTTTTAAGAGTTGATTTGGGGGACCAGGGAGAGTAAGTCTGAAGTCTTAACAAAATATTATTTGGTTGTATTTTGCTCCCTTTTGTTAATAATTGGGATCCATGTCCAGAATAGTCTGATACCTTGACAGGTACCATAGAACCATAGAATAATGTTTACAGTTGTAAAGATAATGCTTTAAAAAAGAAAGTTTTCTTTTTAATTCTAGGCCGGGTATAAGAATTAAGCTGAATGTATATTGTAGTCCTTTTAGAAATTTGAATTTATAGGAATAGTGAGAGTGAGTTAACTCTCACTAATTCTAATGAAAGCTGTAAGTCTAACACTCATAATAAACCTATAGATTTCCATCTTAATCTTAGTTACATTATTTTGAATTAGGCTACTTACCACTAAAAAGCAGTTTATTTTTCTTGCTCATGCTGTGTAACATAAAAACATTCAAATAATTGGACACTGTCCAATTCCAAATAAAGGCAATGCAACTAAAGCTAAATGAGCCTCTGGATAAGAACTCGAAATGTTCTCAGGCGAATATGTGTGTGAATGCCGTTCAGGGCTATTGGTGATCAATGGGGTAGAAAAAGAGGGACAAGGCTAGGGTCAGCTGAGTTTTTGTTTGTTTGTTTGTTTTGTTTTTTAATTGTAGTTGGATACAATACCTTTATTTTATTTATTTGTTTTTAATGTGGTGCTGAGGATCAAACCCAGCACCTGGCACGTGCTAGGTAAGTGCTCTACCGCTGAGCCACAATCCCAGCCCCTCAGCTGTTGTTTTAATGGCAAGTTATAAGTACTTGCACTTTTTTCTTTTAAAAGGTAGCAATTCATTGAGTTAGAATTAGTTTGGTGCTTTTGATTGTGATAAATATATCATTAAAAGATCTTATATTTCTTTTGATTTCGTCACTGCTTAGTATGGACTTCCTGTCAGATTTTGAGATGATGTTGCAGAGGAAAAAGAGCATGAGTGGCAAGCGCAGACGTAATCGCGATGGTGGCACCTTTATTAGTGACGCAGATGATGTTGTGAGTGCCATGATTGTCAAGATGAATGAGGCTGCTGAGGTGAGATGGTCACTTCTTCCCTCCGCTGAATTCATCGTGTTGCTTTTGTTTGTTTATTTAATGCTTAACTTTGGTGTGAACTACATTGAAGACATTTTTTTGTTGTTGTATGATAAAAATTTACTATCCTAAATATTAAGCATAGAAATAAAATTTTTTATTTAGTCATATATTTAGAATAAATCAACAAGACTAAGTGTTAAACCTTTTCAGGTGAATAGCCTTCACTGGTTGTCTGGGGGAATGGTTTTGTTCTCATCTTTAGCTGATGTAAAAAGTGTTATAAAATCATGTGTCATTGTCTTGTCTTGATTAAGAGATTGCATCTAACTCGTTGAATTTTTAAAATATGTTCTATTGTAAATAGTGGTATATTTTAAAAACAAATTCTAACAGTTTTGTGGGTTTGACTAACTGGTGGAATTTGGTGTTGTGCAAGAACAAAACAAACCCTTGTCTTTCAGGCATCCTTTCTTGTATGAAAAATTGTTTTCTTTGAGAGATGGCTACTTTATTTTAAGGTTTAGAATTATAGTGTTATAATTGATTATTAGCAGTATTGCTGTTTTTAAATCTTTTTGTCTTTTTTTCTGAATAGGAAGATAGACAGTTGAACAATCAAAAAAAGCCAGCACTTAAGAAATTAACTTTGTTGCCTACTGTGGTTATGCACCTTAAGAAGTAAGTGTTTCATTTTCTTGTTGAAAATTTTCCTTTTAATGATAAGAATAAACAATTTGGGGCTGGGGTTGTGGCTCCAGCGGGTAGAGCGCTCGCCTAGCACAAGACGTTGTGTTCGATCCTCAGCACCACATAAAAATAAATAAATAAAATGAAGGTATTGTGTTCAACTAAACTAAAAAATAAATACTACAAAAAATATTAATAATTAAAAAAAAAGAATGGACAACTTAAGAGGTAGTGGTGGTTATGAGTCATTTTGCACTTGGTCAGTTTACATTTGTGTTCAGGGTGTGTACTTGCTGTCTTTGTCTAATGAATTATGTCTTTTTCAAGGCTTTGACTTACATTTGTACTTTGATATATGAAATGAAAGTGAATATCAAATTTGTTTATACAGAAATAAGACTAGAAAAATAAGTCTGTGTTATTTATAGTAAAATATATTTTGTTTATCAGATGCCTGTGCCTAACATTGTGCTTGGCTTTGAACTATATGTATGTTTATAATTTTTTTAAAATCTTTTCCTTTTAATGGAATGATATTCAAACTACTTACTGGTGTTCTAAGAATATTACATATGATAGCCTTCTGTTAGATTGCAAACATTAATGAATAAAATTTCCTAAAATATTTATTCATAAATTTTTCTTAAACCTTGTTGCCTAATGCAAACAGAACAAATAGAAAACTGACGTTGATGAAAGAAAAACTTGGAAAGTACTAATGTATTCTTTAGACAGTTTGGAGTCTGATAAAATTGCATCTGTTTTCCCAATATAATTGAAAATAGCAAATCAAGGGCAATCTACTCAAAGCATATATTATACACGTACAATATATAATATATACACACACATAAATATATACTCACACACACACATAATATATAATGTATATATTGGGTGGTCCAATACATCACAGTCATTGAGTCTTTCTATAATAATGATGCCCTTATTTTATTAAGTCCTTGTTATGAAATTCGTTTGTTTGCTCATGGTCATCAGCAGCTTAGCTTTTTCTTTGAATAACTAAAGCCAGAGCCTGCTTTGAATGGCTGAAGAAATGCATTCATACATCAATGAGCCACAAACATGCCTTAGGACACCTATAACTAGAAAACTGCTTCCTCTATTCCAGCAGACAAAACTCTCTGGCAGATTTTACATATAAAATGTACATAGTTACATATATAACTATATATAATGTAGTTATACTATTAATATAACTGATTCTGTTGCATGAAATGGAATTTAAATATCACTTGTTCAGGAATATATTTAATTTTTTGGTTTGAAAAGGGTTTATTTGTGTTGCACACAATTTCTTCATGGTGAATACACACGTGATTCTCTGTACACAAGAAATGGAATTATATTCAAAACAAATAAGTTTCTTTGCAGTTACTAAAAATTATGACTACAGAAAATAAATCAATACTGTAAAACTAAGAAAGTACTATTAATTTGCCTCGTTAGTAGGTAGGTGTAAAGGAAACGGCAAAGAAATTTAAATATCAATAGTCACTGGAATAATTTTTCTGCCAGAAATACTATATTCTCCTTTATGTCCTGCAAAGAATAGCACAATTCTACATTCTCTATCACCTGAAACTGAGAATCACTATTCTTATGGATTGAGCGTTATATTTTTAGTTGCAATAATTGCAGTTCATTGTTCCTCTTATGTGTACCATTCAGTCAACATTAATCTATCTTGTGTAATTTGAGTTTATTTTGTTTTGTTGTTAGCAAGTCATCTTTACTGTCAAGCCTGTATGTTTATGGGAAATAGAAACTAAATTTCATACAACTTTTGAAATTATATATTTAATATATATTCAATATATACCAATATATAGTATATAATAATATATGCATATAAAAGCAAGTTTTGGAAACATCACTAAATATGTAAGGAAAGTCAGAGAGATACAGTGGAACTGAGGTTTGTAGGTTTGAATTATTACTAATATTATCACTATTACCACCATCGTTATCATCATCAACATCATTATTATTTCAGGCAAGACCTTAAAGAGACGTTTATTGATAGTGGTGTGATGTCTGCCATCAAAGAATGGCTATCACCTCTGCCAGATAAGAGTTTGCCAGCACTAAAGATTCGGGAGGAGCTGTTGAAGATTTTGCAAGAGGTTAGTGGCCTGTAATTTACCAAGAGGTTAATGGCAGAAACTATTTGTTCTTCATTAATTATCTAAGGTTTGTATTGTCTTGGCTTCTTTATTTTACCATGAATTTATTTTTGCTTTGCTACAGCCTGCCAGAAAAAAGGTTGGGGAAAAAAGGAACATATATAATAAAATGAACATTAAAAAAAGACCTTATATTGAAGGAAAATATTAAGGTACCTAGGTGTATATGAGAAGAGTAGTCCATTAATGGACATGTTCTGGAGAGGCACTTGAAATAGAGCACCAAATTCAGAGTCATATGAACTTGCATTGGACTCTTAAGCTGGGTCCCCCTTATGTGGCTGTGACACCTTGGGCAAGCTACTTAACTACTGCAGAAATTCCCGAGAAACCTTCTACATGTGAAACACTGTGCAAGGTGCTTTATATATGTATTGATTGGCTCATTGATTTCTCAACAATAAACTGAAAGGTAGGTATATTGTCTCCATTTTACAGATGAGGAAATTAGACTCAGAAGTTAAATGACTTGTCCAAGGTCACATACCTAGCAGGTGGCTGTGCTTGAATTCAGTCTTAGGTCTGTCTCTTGGCTTCTGAGGCCTGTGCTGACTCCTATACAAAACAGCTAACCTCTAAGTATGTTAGTTCATACTTTGTCACACTGTTAGATTTTACTTGAACTTAGTGGTAACACTAAACTCCCAACTTATGATTTGAATTCAAAGGATCTATGTTCAGTGCCTGTGGAGCCTGAAAATAGAATTTTTTATTTGTTTTAAGGAACCAGGTCTTAAAAGTCCTCTAGAATAGATTAGCAAGCCTCCTAGCTTCTGCGTGATTAATTTTTGTGTGTTTATGTTCCCCCAGCTACCTAGTGTGAGCCAGGAGACCCTGAAGCATAGTGGGATTGGACGAGCAGTGATGTATCTCTATAAACACCCCAAGGAATCAAGGTCCAACAAGGACATGGCAGGGAAATTAATCAGTATGTAAATTTTGCTTTTTATTGTTTTTATGTCTATATGTGGAGAGTCATGTATGTAACTATGTATTTTTTTACCAATATTTATTTAACATGAGTCAGTAAGGTGGAGGAATAGAAATTTTTTTAATAACTTCTTATAGGACTAGATTTTTTCTCTTATACTAAAAATCCTTCTTAGTATTTTTAAATATGCTATCCAGTATTAAATACAGCAAGTAAAAGTATACATTTTCTAGTCATGGATCAAGAGTGTGGAGAGAGGGGAGTGTTGAATGCAAGCCCTTGAGTTAGCCACACCTGGTTCATTTCATGGATCGATATCTGACTACATTTCTTTAGCTGGTGATTTCAGCTCCAAGTTTGGTCTCCTCCTCTGTAAAATTGAGATAATTATGTTTTCTTTGAATTATTGTGAAGATTAAATGGGGGATATAAATATATATGTATGTGTGTATATATATATGTATGTGTGTATGTATATATATATATATATGTATATATGTATGTATATATATAAAAATATAAAGCCCAGTGATTAGCACATAGTCAAGAACTACTACCCACTACATTATTGTTACTTGCATAATGGTCTCCAAAGTTGTTTCCATGTTCTTATTTTTATAATGCCAGAAAAATCCAGAGGCTAACTGAAATACACTTGTCATCAAGTGCCATATTGTGTATGAAATCCTTCAATTTTAAGTCGTGTGTTTTTGTTCTCAACTCTTCCTGTATTCCACATTGGAAAGGAATTTAAGTAATTCTGTATTTGGATATAGTATTTGTGTTTGTTGAATTTAAGATTATCAAAGATTATTAGATTAGAGAAATATAAATTTATTTCATAAACCAGAAACATTACTCTCTTTTGTGTTAATAATAATACACAGTTTACTTCCTATTGAATAATAAGCTTTTGATTGCTCTTAAGCAGTGATCCATGACTTTTATTTCCCCTAGACAGAAGCACAATATTTCCTCTGGTGTCCATGACTTACTACAACAGTGGTTCTGTTTCTAGGATTGAGGTATTGGGGGCAGTTTCTGAAGATAATCTAAACCCCTTGAGAATTCCTGCTTCCTTCAAAGTGTGTCAACACTTATTCTGGCTGTAAAAGGTCCTTTCTGGTTTTTGTAGTGTACTAATGCAGCAATAAGCTACATTATGTTCAGAACAAAAACATCAGTTGATGCCTCTGGACATTTACTGACTGAGCAGTGAGCATATATTAGTTTTCTTATGGTCACCTACACCTGTCATATTAGAATGTAATTTTAAAATATTTAGACCATTTTGACAGGTAATAAGGGAGCCTTATTTCAAGATACTATTTTTCAGTGGAGTAAACTTTAGAAATTAGACTGCCTTTTTAAAATAAACATTTTTTAAGAAAGAAAATTGTTATCAACCCAGGTGATTAATGATAGTTCCTTTCTTTAATTTCCGTGGTTACTAAATAAACTGGTCCTGTTATACTACTTTTCTGAATTGACTAGCCTTAGTTTAAATACTAGAATCATGTAGTCTTTATCCTGAAAGTGGTCTGGGATAATGGGGTCATTAAGAAAAAGAATATTCTGGCTAAGCACATATGTCAGGAGGCTAAGGCAAGAAGAACACGAGTTGGAGGCCATTCTGGGCAACTTAGCAAGACTGCATCAAAATAAATAAATGGGGATGTATCTTAGTATTAGAGCAATCCTGGGTTTAATTCCCATTATAGAAAGGGAAATAGAAAAAAAAGAAAATAAAAAGAATATTGTGGGCTGAGGTTATAGCTTAGTGGTCGAACATCTGCCTAGCATATACAAGGCCCTGGGTTTGATTCCCAGCACAACACACACACACACAAACTCACACACACTCACACTCTAAATACCTAGACTGTTGAATTATATGAGTGTGTGATTATTTGAAAGCCTACTAGAAAAAAATGTTATTTTGTGTACTAAATTTTTTTTTCTTTTTCTAGATGAATGGTCTCGTCCTATATTTGGCCTTACCTCAAACTATAAAGGAATGACAAGAGAAGAAAGGGAGCAAAGAGATCTAGAACAAATGCCTCAACGACGAAGAATGAACAGGTATGAGGGAACAGGTATGAGTAAGTGGAATAACTGTTAATGTTACCAGTACCTGGTAAATAAGATCATGAGGATCTTAGGGTCATCTGTAAGATTTTGTCTTTCAGCTTGTTGCATTTGAAAAGAAAATACATAGTTCATAATATCCTTATAGTTTAAATGTGATAGCATCTGGTAAGAGTCTCCTCCCTCACATAAGACCTTTTTTGGAATAGTCTCCAAAAGTATGGCCTGGAGATTCCAACCACTTACAGGAAACAACTTCCTGTCTCCAAAATCATGGGGGGAAATGTTATTGTTTCAGTTTGTGTAAATGTACTAAATCTAGTCCCATCCAGGAGTTACAACTATGGTAGTTATTGCACACTCAGAGTGAAACCTGTAGGTAAAAGAATACTACTAAATTGAGTAGTGTCCTTAAAATGATTCAGGTTTTTTTGTTGTTGTTTATGCTTTTTTGGGGGGGAGGGTTGTGTTTTGTGGGCCCCCACCCCATCCCAGTGTAAAGCTAATTGTGGTTTAAGTTTGATAATTTGCTCTTTTCTTAGTTAGAAGGTTTTTTGACTCTTAGTAACTTATTGTTTACCTTTTTCCCAGCACTGGTGGTCAGACACCCCGAAGAGACCTGGAAAAGGTGCTAACAGGAGAGGAGAAGTAAGAGCTTTTGTATTAATTTTTCTTAACATATTTAGAGGATTTCTGATAGCTGCTTTAAGAAAAACAGTAAATGAAATGATGTTGTGTTAACGTTGGCAGGGAGTGATTTTCAATTTGACAGTTATTGAAACTAAGAAAATAGTTGATTCAGTAAAGATTGTATTGCTATTTGCTAAGTGCTAGACTCTTTGGTAAGCTTTTGAAACAGTCCAGAAGGGCAATGGGAAAGGGAGAGCACAGGCAAGGATGTGGGGTCAGTGTGCAAGGCCTCTTTGGGAGTGGCAAATAGACTAAAGTGATTGGTCAGCATTGTGGCACCAAGGGTGGTAAAAGACAAAACTGGAAATACAGATATGGACCAATAAGGAGCTGAAATCAGAATAGAAATTTTCACTTCTTTGTGACTCCAAATGATGTGTTTGAACCTAGATATGAAGTCATAAAATTTGATTGGGAATGTTGATGCTGATGGTGTTGTATAGGACAGGCAGGGCAGTTTGACTGAAAGGTATGGTACAGATAAACAAAAACCATAATGGAGGAGCAGGAGACTGAGAAGGCACTGCAGAAGCAGAGCTGCCAGGAGTTGGTGACTTAGTAGAGGAGAATTTGGTTGGAATTGAAGGCTGTACACCAAATATTCACCAGTACGGAGACAGTGGTGTTACTATTCATTAAAGTTAAGGGAAGAGTAGATTTGAGGGCATTGGTGAGTTCTGTTTAAAGCAGTTAAATGTGAGATACCTAATAAGATACTCTTACGAATATCATGGGCCTAGAGACAGATTTGATGGTTATTTTCCGAAGGGGGGGAAAACTGTTGAATCAAGAAAGTGTAGAGTAAGACGTGAACTAACCAATTTTTAAAAGGGGTATGGCCAGGCAGAGTAGCCAACAAGAGGATGTGGACATAAGTGTTGGAACAGAACCTGGGAAGGGAATGAGACTACATGGAGGTGGGCAGTGGAGAAGGTACGGGGCCAGGGATAGTGAGGAGAGATGCTGCCAATATCTGTTCCTGCCAATATTGGCTCAAGGCTTGCAAGAGAATGAGAGATGAGATAGAGGGAGCAAAGTAAAACTTATATACAGGTGGTTTGAAGATGAGATAATATCCTTCAGAGGGAGAAGAAGAGTTAAGGAGTTTTGGGGTTTTGTTTTGGCTAGCCAATTAATCTGGTGTAGAAGGTTATAGAAACTTAATGTTTAAAAATGGGACAAACTATACAAAGGAATAAAAACAGTTTAGAATTTTTTTACTCTGCTTGCCCCACCTGCAATAGGTACATATATCCACTCTCCATTCACCACTAGAGGGAGTTACCTAAAGGTTAAGTGATTTTAAATGCCTGGACGTCTGTAATCTGTTGAATCTTTACTTTGGAAAGATGGTGATCTTTTAGTTTAACTTGCGTGCTCTCAAATTTGCGCAGTACTGAACAGACATACACAATGAATATAAGTAATATTGGCGAAATGTAAATAATATGGATGGATTGTATCAATGTCAATATCCTGGTTGTGGTACTGTGCTGTATTTTTGCAAGTTGTTACCATTACAGGAGATGATGAATCTCTCTTGGCATTATTTTATTTGTTTGTTTGTTTGTTTATAGTTGTAGATGGGCACAATACCTTTTATTTATTTATTTTATGTGGTGCTGAGGATCAAACCCAGTGCCTCGCATGTGACAGCAAGTGCTCTACCATGGAGCCACAACCCCAGCCCTCTCTTGGTATTATTTTTTATAATTGTATGTGAAACTGAAATTATTCCCAAAAGTTACTTACAGAAGTATTGAAGGAAATTACTGTGTGTTGCACATGCAAAACCATGTACATTATGGACATACTTAGAGCATGTGAGGGTCATTTTTGACTACCTGATTTTTTTCACCTCATAAGTGAACTTCTGAGTATCTCCACTAGCCTGAAGAAGTTAGGATTTGGTCAGAAAGGTGAGACCAGCCTTTGAAAGGAGAAGGCATGATTACGTTTAAAGCTGAGGAGAACAAAGGGGATTTATACAAATGCAGAGGAAGGTGGCTTTGGGGGGAAATGAGGAATTCCTATAGCAGTGTGTCTGATGATGTGGCTAGCTAAAGAGGAGAGTTTGGGTGACTGTGAGAGGACAGAGGAAATTTGAAATACTGGAGCTGAATAGGGTGGACTGGGAACAGGAATGTGAAATTGCCTGTAGTTTCTATTGTGGCTGACTACATAAGCAGTATGCTCTTCCTTTTCCTTTTCTTAGGGCTCTTAGACCTGGAGATCCTGGATTCTGTGCCCGTGCAAGGGTCCCAATGCCCTCAAACAAGGACTATGTCGTCAGGCCCAAGTGGAACGTGGAAATGGAGTCATCCAGGGTAAGCAAGGAAGAGCAAGGTGGAACTCAAATATAGATTACCACTTGATTTTTCACCTTATGTTTAATAATCCCTATAACTTTTAAGGTTTATCTTGTTCACAGAAATCTGTTTCCTGGTCTCTTGTCTAGCAAAATCACAAATCAAGGAATCAGAGAAAGGGAAAAGTATTACCCGTGATTAAAGCTGATGATTTTTTCTCCAGACTTAAAGCAACATTAAATCAAGAAGTTTCTTACTAATTCCTTCATTTCAAGTGAATTTTGAAGACTACAATGTTCTGACATAGTGACTTTTTTTTTTTTTTAAAGAACCATCAGAAACTCCCTCCCTTTCTTTTCATCTATTTAAGCAATTCTGTTGTGAAATCACTAGGGTAGACACTTCTTCCATTATGGATGTGGACGTTGTTTCTCGGTAATCTTTATTCTCTAATCCAACCACTCTTCTAGCCTGGTATTCTTAAAAAAGGCCTAAGCCGTTTGGAAAAGCATAAGAGGCGATTTGCAGAACAGAAACGACTCAGCAAAGTGCACCGTGCTGTCAAGTTCAGCATTGAAGGCAACAGGATGCCCTTATAGTCCTGGCCCTAACAGTGTATCCAAGAGGTATCCCTGAGGAAGCATGGGCTGTGCATGTGCTTTGAGTGTCATCAGAGTGAAAACAAGCATGTGTGTGCTTTCTTAATCAGAAAAAGCCACCTGCTCTTACTTTCTGAAATAATGACCCTGACAGGTCCCTTAGGGCATTCAAGTACTTTCCATAGTAGAGACTAATAGACCTTACTTCCATGATAAGCATTGTGTTCTTCCTGACTGGTACCCATTTTTATGAAAAAGGCTTTTTGTTAGCACCTAGAATCATAGTAGTCTGCATTACAGACATGAACTGGCAGTGATTTCTAGATGAATGGGAAATGGCTTAATTTCCTATTGTCAGTGATTCAGCAACATGCATTTGAGAACTCATTACTTAAATTCCTATACTGAATATTTAAGAGATGTATGTGGTAAAAATAAATTCAGTACATGGTCAGAAGTGGAAAAAGACTAAACAGTTCATAAGCCAGATTCACTGACCCACTGTGCTTCGAAATTAATAGTACCACTTTTGCTACAGTGTGCAGAGTCCCAGTGTGATATCTGCGTTTTGTAATTCTCCCTGACCTCTGCTTTGGCAACTGTTTCCATGGACTCCACTCACCTTCCTGTCCGCTCACTTTGCTATTAAACAACTGTCAAGACAAAACTCAGTTTCTTTTTTTTTTTTTTTTTTCTTTATTTTATTTATTTATTTTTATGTGGTACTGAGGATCGAACCCAGGGCCTCACACGGGCTAGGTGAGCGCTCTACTGCTGAGCCACAATCTCAGCCCTACTTTCTTATTTATTGAGAATGAATAAAGGGTAGGGGAGGATTAGTTCCATGCTAAGGACTTCTTCCTCTAGCTGGCCTTTCTTTTTTAACTTATACTATATCCGTGTCCCTTGGCCACTTCTCCTTGGTATTCCTCTTCCCCACCCCCATTTCTTTATCTTTCTCTCCTTTCTCACTGTCTCTTCCCTCTTTTAGCCATTTTTTTTTTTAACTAATATTTCCTGCCCCAGCACTTAGGTTTTTGAGAATTGAAAACTGCAGCATAGCCAAGAAAACATAATAAAAACTCTCAGAGGTCTGCCTACCTTGGAAGCATGCCTTGTGTCCCAAGGGGCTGTGTGCCTGTTAATGGTGCTGGCTCTGGTCCCTCCTCCCTGTTAAGTGGAGGGGGTGGAAGGAGAGAAACAGCACGAGGAGAAAATGTTCTAGGAGAGCTCCCTTCCTTATCCCAGACACTCCACAGGACCATAATGTGCCTGTGTTTATCGAGGTTGCAGTTTGGCCTAAAAGAGTATAGAACTCTGTCCAACAAATGTCATTTTTTTGGGTGGGGATGGTTACATGTTAACCTTCCTACTTACTGTCTTTAAACCACCTAGCCAGTTTCCCTGATCAGAAAGGTTTCTTGTACATTCACTCAAGGATCACATTGCATAGACACTAATGAGTATGTCCAAGAAGAAAACTAGAGTAAGTAAATGACTTTCAAATGAAACTTTTTGTATTCAATATAATTTTTATTTTTGAGGTTATATAGTAAATATAAAACACTACAGATTAACCTCCATTCCCAAAGTTCTGCTCTTCACTAAGTCATTACTACTATTAACAATTTGAGGTTTTAAATGTACTTCCAGTTATGCCTCAAAACTTAGTTTTTATAATTGTAGAATAATTTGAGGTAATAATAAGAAAAATCTCTCAAAGTCTAACCATTTCAAAATACTTTGATAATATTTGTTACCTTTTTTTTCATATATACTTTAATCAGAATTGTGCTGCATATAATTTTGGTCATTTTCCCTCATTTAAACCACCTTGTAGATTTATCATTTTTAATGGCTGCAGAATGGTCTGTGACCATTGTGTGAATATATGAGTTTATTCACTTCTCTAGAGCTTCTGATTTTTTTTTTCACTCTTGAGTAATTCAAAAACCTGTCCTATACTAATTTTTATGTTTGTTTTATGGGGTGCTTTTAAAAAATAACATTAAAATTGCAGAAGCAATGCATGTTTTTGTAGACTTTTAAAAATACAGAAAATAAGTAAAATTAACGTCACCTTAATCTTGCCACATCTTAATATTAACACTTTGATTATTTCTTTTGGTCATTTTTGTGTGCATGCATAAACATTATCACTGTGTTCTTTTTTTTATTTAATTCAAGCAACAATGTGATCATAATTTTTTTCTACTTTATTGACTTTGTTGGTTTGCCTTTTACTTGACATGGTAAAATTTCATTTGACTAAATATTCTTCAGTGATATAATATAGAGTTGATATACAGTTGTGCCATAATTTTTAAGCAAAACTACCTAGTTTTGTAAGCTGTGTCTCCCCCCCCCCCCCCATAAAACAGTACAGTATAGATTTATAATATCCTGAGGAAATGTGGGATAGAGGTGATGAAATCAGGAAGGGACCTCACTGAATGTGTCATGTTAGGTGCTGAGTGGTTCTTTGTGTTTTCAGGCTTAGGGTGAGGTAACTAAGCATCTGCCAGCTACATACATGTTATAACAAAGAGTCACTTGGCACTGGCTTGAGAGTGTCCCTGATGCTGAGGCTAAACAGATTAATGAAGGTACAGATGTTAAAGAACATCCTGAGAGTGGGCAAAGAGAAGTCCACCTTGAGGATTGTAGTCTCAATATTTCCCTTTCTCTCATCTTGGAGATTTTTGTGGACTGCAGCAAAATTAAGACACAGTCAACAACAATTTTAATTTTAATTGAGAGGTGTTCTAACACTGTTGTGAATACTTGATCTGTTCCTGAGGTCACCAAAGTGTTTTCTGATTATTCTAGAGCTGGGAGTCCCTTTGACTGCTAATTTTCAGATATAAGAAAATGAAAGATAAAACTAAGGGTAGGTATTACAATAATTTGCTCTTTAATTTTTCCCCCCACTCTTAGTTTCAGGCAACTTCCAAGAAAGGTATCAGTCGACTGGATAAACAGATGAGAAAGTTCACAGATATCAGGAAAAAAAGCAGATCTGCACACGCTGTGAAAATCAGCATTGAGGGCAATAAAATGCCATTGTGACCTTGCCTGGGATGTGTCTTCCATCTCTCCTTTAAGAAATGCACAATGAACTCTTTGGAGAAAGAAGATATTTTAAAATTTTTTTAGTGTGTCTGTAAATGGTTTGGCTTGTATCAAATGTTGTCATAGGATTCACATTTCTCTCAGTTGTATTTAAAACTGTTGTGTACTTTGTACAGAAGAATACTAGTCATACTTCTAAAAATTTTAAATAATAAAATTTCATTCTGGTTTTGGGGGGCTGTTTCTTTATTGTCTTAGAAGATGCATTTTCTGTGGGAGCAAAAATTGGTCCCTGTTGAGTGAAAAAAATCTTAAGATACACCTTCAAAGTTCAGTCCTATCTGACTATGGTATGAGGAATTTGTCTGGTCTTTGTCCGTGATTCCTGACAAGGAATGTCTCAAACCCTTGGGTTTCCTGGGTGATGAAATTGTCTTATGCTGATGGAGTGATTCCTGGTGGGCCCTAGATAGTCTTAGGGGAGAGGATAGGTTCAGTTATGTGACCTATTTGATTTTTTTTTTTTTTTTTAGAGAGAGAGAATTTTAATTTTTTTTTTTTTTTTAGTTTTTGGCGGACACAACATCTTTATTTGTACGTGGTGCTGAGGATCGAACCCAGGCCACACGCATGCCAGGCGAGCGCGCTACCGCTTGAGCCACATCCCCAGCCCACCTATTTGATTTAATCATCCATACCTGCATAGTGAGGTCCATTAAGAGCTCTGGACACCTAAGCAAGCTTAGTAGAGTTTCCTGGTGGGTGAACTCACTGATGTGCCAGAAGAATGGGACACAGAATCTCTGCATTCCCTTCTTAAACCCCCTTCTGTGGATCTACATTTGACTAACAGGTCTAACATTCTTTATAATAAAACTAACCACAAGTATAGTGCTCTATAGGATTAGTACCTTCCTTAGTTCTCTGAGACATCTTAGCAAACTCTTGACAAGAGATTCATGAGAACCCCAAATTTGTAAACATTCAATCCAAAGTATCAGTGGTCTGGATAACTCAGTATGGCCAGCACCTATCAGAATTGAAATACAGTACCCCAGTTGGAATTGTACTATAATACCAACAATATCGTATGTCTTAGTATTAATCATTTTATATTAATTTTTTCCTTCCAAGAGTAGGGAATTACAGTAGAAAAATTTCAGGAAGTCGTTAATGATTATCTAATTATTTTAGTAGTCTCTAAAGACTTAATTATGAGAGCTCTGATGGGTCAAGCTGAGTAAATCCAATAAAATTTTAATTAGCCTCGGTTTTCATAAAGACCTTTGAGTGGTCTACATAACATGAAGTATATGCACTGAAACACAAGAATCTCTCAGAACCTATCTTCATTTAAGTTGCAACAAATTCAGAAGCACAAGATTGTAAAAAAGTATATATTAGAAGGTAATGGCTAACCACTAGATGGAGACAAAACAACCTTTCAGCTGTGTTACTTTTTATTTACCCTCAAAAATGTTTCCAGTGCCTTCCAAATGTTGACAATTAAGACAGTTGTAAACAAGAAAAACAAGTTGTTAAAGATTTTCAAGTTATTAACATTTTGGCCTTTATTATAGTAAGCTCCAGTTATCTGAAAATGTCACATGGAAGTTAAAAGTGATGGTACCAGGTAATAAAGTGATAATCACACCCTGGGAATTAAAAATGATGAGAAATTATCTTATACTAAGTTTAAAGAAAAAAAATTTAACTAGTTTCTATATAAATGATCTGGTGTATGGCTTACTTGGCGGCATCTCAAACCTAGTCCACCAGAATAACTTTTTTTCCCCTGATTTAAAAATATTTCCAATTTAGTAAAGTTAACTCCATGTACCCTTCATTGATACTTACCACTTTGCCATACTTAACTTTGTCACCTTATATGTACATACTGTTGCTTTTTGCAGGTGTGTGTGTCTAGCTTGTTGACAGCTCACCTCTGGAGCCCCAAATACTTAAGCATTTTCTTACAAAAACATGGATTTACCCAGTTAATTTTTATCACTTGGTTAGGGTGATTCAAAGTTACTTAGTCTTTCAGTTTTTTTGTGATATTTTGTAATTGTGGTAAAAGATATATAACATGAAGTTTAACCATGTTAAGTGCACATCTTTTAGGTGCACAGTTTAATGGCATTGAGTGCACTTCATTGTTGGGCATCCATCTCCAGAAATCTTTCATCTCATAAAACTATGTACCATTAAACAATCTCCTATTCTCCCTCCCACCAGCTTTGCAAACATCATGCTATTTTCTGTTTTTTACTGTATGTACATAACTTTCTTCATTCTGGTATTAATGTCTTATCAAATATATTATTTGCGAATAGTTTTTCTAATTCGGTAATTTGATTTCTCATTCTGTTGATTGTGTCCTTTGGTGTACAGTTTTAATTTTGATGTAGTTTATCTTTCTTTTATGCCCGTGCTTTTGGGGTCATCAAAAAATCATTGCCAAATGCATTATTATAAAGCTTTTGCCTTGTTCTAAGTTTGTAGCTTTACCTTTTTTGTTTACGTCTTTATCCATTTTGACACTGTTTTGTCCGTTATGTAAGATAAAGACCCAGCTTCATTTTTTTGAATGTGAATATCTACTTTTTTCAAATACTGCTAGTTGAGAAGACAGAGATGTCCTTTTGCCATTTGATGGTCTTGGCACCCTTTCCAAAAATGTTTTGACCATATACGTGAGGGGTTTACTCCTGTGCTTTGTTTCATTCATATTGTTCTGTCTTTCGTCTCCAGTAAACTATCCTGATTACTATCTTTGCAATAAGTTCTGAAGTCAAGAAATGTGAGTCCTCCACCTTTGTTGGGTTTTCCCTAACCCCAAGAATTTTTTTTAGTATTTGGGTTTCTTTGAGATTTCATGTGAACTACAGGGTGAATTTTTCTATTTCTGCAATAAGCATTGTTGGGATTTTGATTGTGTTGAGTCTGTAGATTATTTTAGGTAGGATTTCCATCTCAAAAATATTAAGTCTTGCCTGGCCCAGCGACGCATGCCTGTAATCCCGGCAGCTTGGGAGGCTGAGACAGGAAGATTAAGAGTTCAAAGCCAGCCTCAGTAATGGTGAGTCACTAAGCTACTCAGTAAGACCCTGTCTCTAAATAAAATACAAACTAGGACAGGAGATGTGGCTCAGTGGTCAAGTGCCCCTGAGTTCAATCCCTAGTACCAAAAAAAAAAAAAAAAAAAACAATTAAAATCCATAAACAATACTTTCACTTATTGATGCCTTTAATTTCAAAAACATTTTCAGTATGCAAGTTTTTTGTGTCCCTGATTAAGTATTTTATTCTTTTTGATACTACAGTAAATGGAATGGTTTTCTTAATTTCCTTTTAGGGTTGCTCACTGTTTGCATGTACATATGCACCTGATTTTTGTGCATTGATTTTACGTGCTACAGTTTGGCTGAATTTGTTTATTCTGAAAGTTTTGTTGAGGCTTTGTTTTGTGGAATATCTAGGCATTTCTGCATTTGATGTGTCATCTACAGTTTTACTTCTTTGTTTCAAATGTGAGTATCTTTTATTTCTTTTTCTTTCCTATTTTATATGGCTAGACTTTAGTACTGTGTCGAATACAAGTGGTGAAAGTGGACATCTTTGCATTATTCCTGATATTGGAGAAAAACTGTCAGTCTTTCATTATGTTAATGATGGGCTTTTCATATGTCCTTTATTATGTTGACTTTCCTTCTATTCCTAATTTCTTGGGTGTTTTTATCAAGAAAGGGTGTTGAATTTTGACAAAAGCTTTTTGTTCATCAATAGAGAAGAAGGGTTTTTTTTCCTTTATTCTGTTAGTGTGGTGTCAATTGATTTGTTATATGATGAATCATTCTGGGAATAAATCCCTGTTAGTCACCATGTGCCTTTTAATGTGCTGTTGAAATTCTGTTTGCTAGCATTTTATTGAAGACTTTTGCAATGTTTATCAAGGACAGTAGTCTTTAGTTTTCTTGTAATGTCAGTGTAGTTTTGGTACCAGGATAATGCTGTCTTCAAGAAGAGGGAAGTCTTCTTTCCTCTTCAATTTTTTGGAGCAATATGAGGAGGATTGGCATTAGGTCTATAAGTAGTTTGATGGAGTTCACCTGTAAAGCCCTCTGGTCCTGTACTTTTTTTGTTGGAAGAATTTTGGAAACTAAATGCAGTCTCCTTACTAGTTACAAATCTATTAACGATTTATATTTGTTCATGATTCAGAGTTGAAAGGTTGTGCTTCTAGGACTTTGTCCATTTCATCTGTATAATCCCAATTTGATAGCATGTAATTGTTCATAGTATTCTATGCTCCTTTTTTATTTCTGTAAAAGTGGTCACAACTTCTCCGTGTTCAGTTTTTTGAGTCTTTTTTCCTTTCTAGTTCTAGCTCTGAATGTCCTTTTTTTTTTTTTTTTTTTTCAAACTTTCTGAAGAACTAACTCTTGGTTCCTTTCTTTTTCTCTTGTTTTCCTGTCCTCTATTTTGTATATATCTACTCTAAATTTTGTTCTTTTTTACTCTTGTTTGTTTTGTGCTTGCTTAGTTTGTTCTTTTCCTATTTCCTTAAGGTTAGACTATTGTTTCAGTTTTTTATTTTTTTAAAACCAGGGGTGCTTAATCACTGAGCCACATCCCCAGCCCTTTTTTATGTTGTATTTAGAGATGGGGTTTTGCTGAGTTGCTTAGGGCTTTGCTAAGGTGCTGAGACTGGTTTTGAACTCATGATCCTCCTGCCTCAGCCTCCCGAGCTGCTGGGATTACAGGTGTGTGCCACCATGCCCAGCTCAAAATATTTTTTTAATGTAAGCATTTACAGTTATAAATTTCTCTCATAGCATTACTTTTGTTGCACCCCATCATATTTGATATTTTGTTTTATTTTCTCTCAAGATATTTTCTAATTTCTCTTGTGATTTCTTCTTTGACTAATTAGTTTAAGACCAATTACTGTTTAATTTCCACATATTTGTGGATTTTCTAATATCTGTCTGCTATTGATTTCTAATTTTAATATATTGCCTAGAGAGATACTTTGTATAGTTTTAACATTTTAAAATGTATTAAGACTGTTTCATGGCCTAATATATCCCAGAGAATGTTCCTTGTGTACTTGAGATATGTCTGTATTCGACTTATTAGTGGGTAGTATGTTCTGTTTATGTGTGGTAAATCCAGATGATCTGTGGTGGTGTTCAAGTCTTTTATTTCCTTATTTATATTCCATCTTACTG